AATTAAAATATAATATAAATAAATAAATAAAACAGAAAATAAAATAAATAATATATATTAATTAAAATTTTCTTTAAATAATAATAAAATAAAAAATAATAATCACAAAAAAAATACAAAATATCATAAAAAACAAATGATTAAAAGCTAGTTAGAGATGACATTATCAAATGATAGGGTTCTATTAACCACCCCCAATTTTTATTGTACGTTTCTGGTGTTATAATCTTAAGTAGGATGACGAAAACGACATAGAAAAATCGGGGAGAGACAAAGCACGCGTCGAAAAATCTGCACAAGTGGCGACTGCCTGCAACTTCGAATTATTCTTGGTTGCTGCCTGATTGCTTTAAATTCTTATGATGGGTTGCATTAACAATACATTCTACTCTCTCTCTCTCTCTCTCTTCCCCCACCCACCATCACTACATCCCCCGAGGCTATGCCACCATCCCTACAAACCCCAAAACACACACAAACAGAAGAAAGAGAATTTGTGGGTTCTGGTCAGGAGAGAGAGAGAGAGAGAGAAAGAGAGTGCCAAAGTGTATAACATAAAGCTAAAGGTGGGGAACCAGACTCTTCTTCAACAAGGCCTTTTGCAGTGGATAAAGAAAACCCAAAAAGCAAATGCATGCGTCTTTATAAGATTTATCTTCTTGATCATCATGATCACTTACTCTTTTTACCCTTTTCAAGATTTAAGTTCTTCAGTTCATCCTTCTCTTCCATGATCACTGATAGCCGGTTGTTTGATTAAGTGAGTACTTCCAAATGGTTTGTTTGTTGCATTCACTTAAATTTGTTTTTTTCTGTGTGTTTTGTTATGTTTTCTCAAATGTTTCCGCTTTGTACTTGCATATGTTAGCTTGAAGTTTGAGTTTTTGTCAGAAGATTCAAGAAATTGCTTTCATTCTTTTTTAGCATTGGTTTTACTCTAATGCTACCCATTATTTTAACTTTCTTATTTTAATTTTTGCAACTTTGTTTGCTGTCTAGATATTTTGTAACGTTTTCTCATCTCCCTAATTCAAACTGATAGCTGCATCGATTTTTTTTATCTGTCTGGATACTTATCACTATTCTTATATGCAGATCCTCTCTCTTTGTTGTTCTTATTTTTCAGTACAAATGGAGCCATTGTATATGGGAGGATAATTAACAGAAATAGAGGAGGTGGGTTGCTTGCAGGAAGCTCTAAGAAAAACTTACAGTGAAGGCTGAAGCTTGAAAAAGAGAGGAAAAAGGACAGGGCGACAAGTATGCCAACGAGGCAAATCAAGGAAGGAGTGGAACAACACCTAGTGATCAAACCAAAACCCAAACCCAAATCAAACTTGCAGAATCAGATAAACCCAGTAGCAGATGTAGTTCAAAAAACCCCCAAAACAGCTCAAAGTGATGAAAATCATCATCATCAGCCACCCAAAACTCGAGGAAGGAGAAGAGGAAGAGGTGGCCGCAAATCCTGTGATCAAGATACTGAAACTGGCATCTTTATGCGTCCCAATTCAAGGCCATGTACAGTTGCCGCTTCCCAGAGGCCTGCAAATCTACTACAGTCCCATTTTAATGAAAGTGACAAAAAAATGTCCAATTTGAATGAATCAGAAATGGGGTTTCCTTCTTCAAGCAAGTCCTTGAGTTTTGCTCCTAGGCCTGGCTATGGTCAAACTGGGACAGTATGTATTGTGAAGGCTAACCATTTCATGACACAGTTACCAGATAAGGACTTGAACCAGTATGATGTAAGCTAGTTTTCTTTGAATACTTTCTGCTGGAGTGTAATTTAATTGCTTTATCTATTTCTTCTTTTTATGATGATATAATTTGATTGCTTTATCTATTTCTTCTTTATGATGATATGATTTTGGGGCCCTTGGCTGACACAACTGGTCTTTGTGACATTATTTTGGCCTTTCCTTGTTTTAAGTAGAAATACTGTAATGTTTGGCTCACTAATAATAGAGTGTTGAATGCACAATTGAAAACAAGTGTACTTTCACTACTGGTTTAAAATTTAAATAGGGGACGAGTGAAACTGATTTATATTATACTGTTGTGCTTTTTAATTGAAAGTTCAATTTAACAACGCACAGGTCAGCATACTTCCTGAAGTAACATCAATAACTTTGAACAGAGCTATCATCGCAGAGCTGGTGAAACGATATAAGGAATCTGACTTGGGGATGAGATTGCCTGCTTATGATGGCAGAAAGTGTTTATTTACTGCTGGTGAACTACCTTTTGTCTGGAAGGAGTTCAGGATCAAACTGGTAGATGAAGAGGATGGAATCGATAGTCCCAAGTAAGAATTCATTTTACTTCTGAGATTCGGATTTGTTACTTGATGCTGCTTTGGTCCATTGTTGCAAAACCATGCACATCAACTCAAACTCTCCCTACAATAATTTGAAAAACATAAACAAAAGTGAACATTTTATAAAAGAAAATCGTAGTCCATCACGATGGTTGGAAGATGATAGACAAAACGACATTCATGATGCGATGTAAGTTTTACACTTATAAACTCACTGGTGTATGATCATAGAGATTATAGTAAGGTCTTTTAGTCACCTTTGGCTGTCTAACCCTTCTCTTTGTAACATGGACATCAAGCCGCTTTGTGTTTTACACGTTTCTTTGAAATTCATTTCAGAAGAGAGAGGGAGTATAAAGTGGTGATCAGATTTGTGGCACGCGTCAATTTGCATCATTTAGGCCAATTTCTAGCCGGTAAGCGTGCGGATGGTCCACAAGAAGCCCTTCAAATTTTAGACATAGTGTTGAGAGAGCTATCAACAAAAAGGTGATATTTTCAGGAGGATGAGGTTTTGCTTGCTGTCTGCCTTTTTGACTTGTTACTTACTTTTTACTGTATTCTCAATAGGTACTGTCCTGTTGGAAGATCCTTCTTTTCTCCTGATATTCGGAAACCACAGCAGCTCGGAGAAGGCCTGGAGTCATGGTGTGGATTCTACCAGAGTATTAGACCTACTCAGATGGGCTTATCTTTAAATATTGGTGAAAATTCTTCTCTACTCAATATTTTAAACAGAGAATCAAGCTGCATGCTTATATTTTTATTTTATTTTATTTTATTATAATAGCAGTATTGATAATACTAGTTAATTTTTATTGTAAAGATATGGCTTCAGCGGCTTTTATTGAGGCTCTCCCAGTAATCGATTTTGTAGCCCAGCTTCTTGGCAAAGATGTGTTATCAAGGCCGTTGTCTGATTCGGACCATGTAAAGGTATTCCCTTTGTTTATTGTTTGGTAATTAAGACTAATAATTCTTACACTTCTTAATATTCATATTATCAAATATTGTATTGTAGATAAAAAAGGCTCTTCGAGGAGTGAAAATTGAAGTGACTCACAGAGGGAATGTACGAAGAAAATATCGGGTTTCTGGATTAACATCACAGCCCACGAGAGAATTAGTGTAAGATTTATTTATTGAAAAATGAACTGTTCTTTGGCTATGCATCTTTTGAAGAGTTCTGATTCACTTTGATTTTAAAACAGATTCCCTGTTGATGACAATGCAAACATGAAGTCCGTTGTTGAGTACTTTCAAGAAATGTATGGCTTCACTATTCAGCTAACTCATCTCCCTTGCCTTCAAGTAGGAAACCAAAGGAAAGCCAACTATTTACCAATGGAGGTCGAGATTGATTGATGCAAGTCTGAATGTTCTTTGTGCTGGTATTCATAAAACCACGCTAAAATTTACTTTTAGTTCCATTGTTGGCCAGGCCTGCAAGATTGTTGAAGGGCAACGGTACACAAAAAGGTTGAATGAGAAACAAATTACTGCTCTGTTGAAAGTTACCTGCCAGAGACCCAAGGATCGTGAAAATGATATTTTGCAGGTATCAATTTTGATTGATCAGTTTTTGCATCATCATGTTTGCCTTTTTGTTTCAAGCAAATGATTGATCTAGTGAAAAATGCAAAAGAAGAAGAAACTAGAGTTTGAAAGATAAAGTGATCTTGGACAAATAGAAGTGCTAAGTATGCTATATCTTGGAATTAATTTTCTATGATATGTGCAAAATTACTAAAGGTCTCGTTTGGTTTGTAGGATTTGGAGGGATTTGGAATTGAATTCCATTCCAATCCCATGTTTGGTTTGAAGGATTTCCTGGATTTGGAATCTGGGGGTTTCATTGAAATCCAACAAACATTTGGTTTTGAAATTCTATGAGGGTTGTTTGTATTTCGTGGGATTTCCTAGGATTTGTGTGTAATGTTTTAAAATATGTTGAAAACATTTGTTGTATAATAATCAATTAACAGAAAGATAGTTTAATTTTTTTTGTAGTTCTTTATAATTTGTTTATAGAAGTATTTATAAGAAATGGAATTCAATTCCATTTCAAATCCTACACACCAAATCCGTCCAATTCCAAATCCAAATCCCTCCGAACCATTCCATCAAACCAAATGCCCCTAACTTATAGGGCGGTTGTGCTGTTGGTTTCTACATTTTCACAACAACAATGGTTCCTTTGCAACAAAAACAAGGTAGGATGTTCGAAAAGTTCATCGCATTTTGTTAAATTTAGTCATTACAAAAGCACTAAATGCCAAGGGTCTTACATATGCTCCACAATGACAAAAACACCTTTAGGTCTGAAGTTTTATTTTAATATTAGCATCTTTTTCATTCTTTAAAGTAGCTTATTATTATTATTATAATTATAATTTGTTACCCTTCCTTTGTTATTCTTTATGCATTGTAAATGTAATGGACTAAGCTTGAGAAATGGAATTTTATTCTTTGTGCTGCTTTGAATACAGACGGTTCAGCAGAATTCATACAACCAAGATCCATATGCAAAGGAATTTGGTATAAGAATTAGTGAAAAGTTAGCATCCATAGAGGCAAGAGTTCTCCCTGCTCCTTGGGTAAGATTGCCCTGTACAATAATATATTTTTGTTTAGGAGGTGCTTGGTTTTTAAGTTTTTTCTTTTCCAGATGAATTGTTGTTTTTCAATTTTCCCTTGATAAAATGCTTATATGCAGCTAAAATATCATGATACCGGGAAGGAAAAGGATTGTTTACCTCAAGTTGGTCAGTGGAACATGATGAACAAGGTACCGTCACTTGTCCACTAAATCCGAGTTCATATATACTTTTACCTCTAATCAAGATAAAGTTAACAATAACCACAAGGGTTATGGCATAGTGGTTGAGGTCTTGGGGATGTGGTGGAATATCTCATTTGCCCAGGGTTCGATTCCAGGCGTACACAACAATTGTGGCCACTGAGTTTATTAGGGCTGATTTCTTCCAGACACAATTTGCCGGGATTAGATGCCTACAAAAAAGGATAAAGTTAAAATCCATACCATAGTGATCATAGCATATCAAAGGCTATTTTAGCAATGATTCAAATTCATGAAATTGGGTCAGTAGCATAACCTTGTATTTAGTAAAGCCTTAATCTTCATGTACATTTGTTTTCCATGCTCATGTTGGAGCTGTTCATTATCTCCTCTTAATTTTCTCAGAAAGTGATTAACGGGATGACCGTTAGCCGGTGGGCTTGCATAAACTTCTCTAGGAGTGTCAAAGAAAGCATTGCTCGTGGATTCTGTAATGAACTGGCTCAAATGTGTCAAGAATCTGGCATGGTATTTCCTTGTCTCATCTACTCTTTGCCTTTTTCTAATAACATTTAACTTAAATAAAAAGAAAATCAAGAATAGCCTTTGATGTTTGAGGTTAAACATATGTTTCAGAGTGTCATTAAGACATAACATTAAGATATCTACTTTGAAGAGGAAAACACTCTACAATACTATGTAGTCACACTTCTAGTCATTAAACTTTCTCAACTCAAGGTTAAAACATGTATCGCGCTTGATGTGATAAAACATATTTTACTAATTGATCCTTTGATATATTTGAACAATCCTTTTAGAAACTTTGAAGGGATAAGTCATTCTGAATTGATTAACAAGACGAAGTATACGAAGATATATAAAATTCACATCTGACCAGATGCTAGCTTGTTGACATATAAAATTTTGTTTGAAGACACAGACATGAAGGATTTGGAGCTGATCCTTTAGCTTGTTATTGTCCACCAAGATATGCCTTCATTTGGGTTCTCCATTTTTCGTTGTTTTCCTTTCTGAGCTTAAAAAATGGAGTTGATTCTACTATGTTGCATGTTAAAAGATCTTAGATTTGATGAAAAAGGGGAAGTGAAGAGAACTTTCTAACTTCCATTCATATAAATATTTTTAGAATCACACTTGATCAAGACTACTAACCTCTCATTTACCTACAAGTTACACATAAACCAATCACTTTGTTAGATAGCTTTAGCCAACTCCTCAACTAATCAAGTGCTAAATATTCCCATCTTTAGAATCTAACTATGTATTAAAAATCTGGAGCCAAATTTGTAGTCTACATCAAACCACATAAGAATTGTTGTAGTGTGAAACTATTTGGTATTAGTCTATAAAAATTGCTTAATAAGCTTGCTTTTGAATTCAAGTATTCTCAAATTACTGCTAGTGGGATTTACATGTGATTATGTGATGTATAGGAATTCAATCCTGATCCGGTGATACCAATTTATTCAACAAAGCCTGAGCATGTTGAGAAAGCATTAAGACATGTCTATCATATGTCAATGAACAAGCTAAAAGGAAATGAACTGGAACTTCTATTAATTATTTTGCCAGATAATAATGGGTCCTTATATGGTACGTATTCATCTATTTGAGTGATTAGTGAATTGAGGATTAATTATGTAATTATGATCTGAATTTTTATTTAAGGTGATATAAAGCGCATCTGTGAAACGGATCTCGGCTTAATCTCTCAATGCTGTCTTACAAAATACGTATTCAAGATTAGCAAGCAATACTTGGCTAATGTGTCCTTGAAGATCAATGTTAAGGTACATAAACATCAAAATTACTTTATTGGTGAGCTAAGCAATGCATTCTTGTAAACTTTTCTCCTTAAGGCAATGGATGTTACCATACACTGTCTTTGAGGTAAACAAACTGTTTTTCAAATTCTAAAATCATCTAATTCTAGCGTATGTTATGAAGTTAACACAATAATCGACATGCTCTCAAATATGTAAAGGACCTTTGTCTTTTCAATCCCATATTTTATTTTTTGAAATCAAAATTTTATTACCGAAAGAGAAACCAGAAAATACAGAACAACCCAAAGAGGCCAAATTTTGCAAGGGGCATAATGTCGAGAAAAACCAAGCAACCAACTACAAAAGACAAAGGCCAAAGAAAAAAACAAAATGAAAGGGAAGACCCAACCCAAACCCAAGAACAAGACAACCCTTTAATTATATGCGAACACGCGCCACTCCTACTACGAAGGCTTCCTGCTCTTAGCCCTGTTTGAGATCCAAAGATAGGAGGCCGACTGGATTTCGAAAAGCAGCTTACTTAAATCGATCCAATCATCCCTTTCAAAAACCAAAGAATTTATCTTCCTCCACATGATGAACGAGGAAAGACCAAATGATTGCTTCCTTCGCTGAAGCTAAAGCATACACACCACCGCTGCTACCAATATCCGAAATCAGCTCCTCGATTGATCTTCTTGACCGAAAATTCCCACCACACCAGGTAGAGATTTTTCTCATAACCGAACACTAATCGGGCAATCCATAAAGTAGTAATTAATAGATTCCACATCACTGTTGCATTTAGGGCAATGCCTAGAGTCTAAATCAAAGCCTCTATCGTGCAACACTTCCCTCATATGGAATCCCTCCCTTATACAACCTACGAACGAAGATGTTGACTTTCTTTGGCACCAGAGAACACCAACGGGTATTTCCAACACCATTGTGAGACACCAGCAACCTATTATCTATCAATTCCCTCAACTTTTTCACAGTAAAAACCCCAATTACATCCAAATCCCATACCCACTTATCAATCCCATCAGGATTAATTGAGATAGGTTGCAACAACTGCAAAAGATCCTCAAACTCACGATTGGCTCTACCCCTAAGGCATCTATCCCAACTCCACGGCCAACCTTCTACCCCAGCTGAACCAATTTTATCTCGTAGCTAGGCATGGAAACAGGACAGGGATGGGGCGGGTTTTGTAATTAGGGATGGTGATTCACCCTGACCCGGTGGGGAACCCGTTTCACCCGACCCGAAAGGGGATTCCCTGCTAAAATGGGTCCCGGGGCCGGGGATCCCCGGTAGAATCAAACTAAAAGATATTATTTTTGGGGTTTGACCAGGGATTGATAGAGGTTTGACCGGGGCAATTGCTCAGGATACCCTTTTTTAGTTTCTAGGGTCTATTTCTTAGTTCGAACCCGCAACATCCGCCTTGATAGGGCGGTGCTCTTGCCTATTGAACTACAATCTCGTCCTGGGCCATCGCACGGAAAACTAGAAAAAGTGAAAAAAAAATCAATTTTTCCCCTCCTCAAGAGTATAATATACTATCTCCCAACCGCTTCAGAGAGACAATCGGGATGTTAACCCCGGTACTCGCCGGGGACCGGGGGATGTTACTTCAAACCGGGCCTGGGTCGGGGATTACAAAACCCACCCCATCCCCGCCCTGTTGCCATGCCTATTTGTAATCTCCGACCCCGACCCTGTTTTTTAGTAATAGCCCCCGGTCCCCCAGGGGTACGGGGATTAACATCCCATCCCCTATCTAACCCCATGAAAAATATCCGTTAGTTTGAGTCTACCTAAGATCCCCGGCCCCGGTTTGAGTAACATTCCCCTACCCCGACCACATCCCAGGTTTGAGTCTACCGAGGATCCCCGGCCCTGTGACCCGTTTTAGAGGGTAATCCTCGTCCCCGTTCGGGTTGGGTGAGCCAGGTTCCCCAGGTCGGGGCAAATCATCATCCTTACCCGCAACTTCGCCTTTTTTACCCTTTCTAAAGCCCATAAGCGAGGAAATCTATCTTTTAATCTACCATCCTCCAACAGTTGATGCTACAAAAAATCGATATCTGCCCCATCACCAATACTTCTACTACATGAATCCTAGAAAGGTAAACCTAGGTCCTCTATTTCTCTTATCATCTTAATCACTCCTCCCCAAGCGCCCCTAAGCATGCCCTTGTTATCTCTACCACTAAGCCACCATCTTTGCCGTGAACGCTCGAAATAGTTCTATGCCACAACACTCCACCCTCCATTTTAAATCTCCAAAGCCATTTCTGCTGCAAAGCCTAATTAAATGCTCGAACACTTCCCACCCCTAGCCGCCCTAATTGAGTATTACAAATTACACTATCCCACTGAACCCAAGAAGGATAAAGTGACATGTTATCCCCACCCAAAAGAATTTCCTTCTTAATCTCTCAAAGGGCTCGCACAACACCTATCAAGGCACGGTACAAGGAGAAGAAATACAATAGTAGACTGTTCAGCACGAATCGAAATAATTTTTCCAATCCAACCATCTAGCCTTCATTTTAGTTTCTGGATAATCGACTGCCTAGATGCTTCTCGAACCATTGAGGCTCCAACAGGGAGGGGAGGCCTAAATACGTGAAAGGAAGAGATCCCGAGTCGCAATTTGTAATTGTCGTCGCCTCTTCTATAGATTCATTATCCACCCAAATCCCATACAACTTGTTTTCGATAGGCTTATTTTAAGACCTGACGCTGATTGAAAGCGAAGGAGTAAAGCTTTTAGGTTTTTCAGGTTTGGCGGATCCCAATTTCCAAAGAAGAGAGCATCATCAACGAATTGTAGATGAGAAACTTCAACTTTGTCTCGATCCACCTTCAAACCTTCAAAGTGCCCCTTGCACTTTGCTTCTTCCATAACAGTATTCATTCCTTCCATCGCAATAAGGAAAAGGAAAGGAGATAAGGGATCACCTTGGCCAACTCCTCATTCGAGGTTGAACTCTCCCATAGGAGAACCATTGACCAAAATAGAGACGGATGTCGATGAAAGGCAAGCGCTGATCCACTTAAACCATCGGTTCCCAAACCCCATTGGAGCATCAAATCTTCAAAAACTTCCAATTGACACAATCGAAAGCTTTCTCAAAATCAGCTTTAAAGAGAGAAGTTTTATGACTAGCCTTTTTGATGAAAGTAACCAAAAGCATCTGCGACTAGAATGTTGTCTGCGATACTTCTTCCTTCAATAAAAGTCGTTTGAGTGTCGTTTATTACCTCACTTATTACTGCTTTCAGCCTTTTCGCCAAAGTTTTTGCAATAATCTTGTAAAGAGCCCCTATTAAGCTGATGGGACGAAACTCGCTAAAGAAAATAGGATTACTATTGAGAACTAGCATAAAAAACGAAGAATTGCAGCCTTTGTTTAACCTCCCTTTATGTAACGCCCCAAATCCTACTTCGGGTGTCGTTACCTTCTTAAGATACTACCAGGTCTTGTATATGAATTGGAAATTTAACTTTATTTATAAAACTTAGCTTATGATTACAACAAAGTTCAAATACTAGCGGAAACATAACTCAAGAGCTTATAATACAACAAAATTTTGCTATTGGTTAGAACAATACTTCTTCATGCTCTCCTTAACTCCTTCCTTGAGATACATACTTGAGATACGTAAGCTAAAAGCTTAGCGAGTAGTTATGGTTTCATGAATAAACAATTTCCATAGTATTTAACACTTCTTTTTTGAAGTATATAATATTTATATACGGCAAATGCAACAAATAAACTCATACACCCCCTCACCTTTGGTGAGGTTTGAACCCTTTACCTCCTAGGAGGCCAAGGACTACGATACCGCTAGTTATAACAAATAACCTTTGGTTAGTTCTTAACACTTTGTGAATAATAATTCACTAAAAATCTTTATCATGCATAAAAAAACTCTTTTGAGATCTCACTTGCGACATGTAAGTATGTCATTCTTGCCTTGAGGTTTGCTAACCCCGTGGTCCATAAAGGCTTCCCCACAAGGTTCGTCTACAAGACCTCCCTTGTAAATTATGGTCATACATAACATGCAAAGACTTTCATGCCTAGTGTGTAAAACACATACTTATATCATAACATGTCATCATGCATATCTTGAATATATAAATGTATCAACATTTTCATGTAAGGCAAACATGCCAAAACATCTTATAATGCACAAAATACTCTTATGTAGCATGTATGAATCTCGTAAATCTCACAAGGTACTCACTTTGATTATACCTAGCTTTTTCTTTGATTCCTTACTTCAAGCTTGATAATGTATAGAGAGAGATTTCTTATTTTGATATGGAATTAATAGTAACACTTCAACCACTATTTATTGGTGAATCCATTGCATTAACTACTTGTTCTTCTTGCTCTAAAAATTGTTATGAGAGTTTTAACATCCAATATTTAGGATAAGAGAATCTTGACACATTATGCTTCTAGCAAGAGAATCTTGACACATTATGCTTCTAGCATTTCATTCTCATGCTTGTCATCAATAGCTTGCCAACACATACTTCTAACCCTTACGTCTCATCACTTTAGGTTTGATTTCTCATGCTTTGCCTTGTAGCTACTTTGCATTAAAAATATAATGATTTTATAAATGCTACAGCTGCTGGAACCTTTTGAGTACTTCATTTGATCATAATACTTGTATTTAAGGCTTAAAAAACATTGAAATCTAACAAATATAGAACTAGGATGTTACACCCAGAACCAATTAAAAACATTCATCACATCAGCTTTTATCATGTCCAAGTCTCCTTTAAAAACTTGAAACTAATGCCGTCCGGACCCGGAGCTTTGGATCATCTGCAATTCTTAATCACCGACCAAACTTCAGACTCCGAGAAAGGGACTTCAAGTGCTCCGGCTAAGTCACTAGACAACCTTTTGAATTTGGAACTGATAAACCTTGGTCTAAGATTGTCCTCCGTGTCCCCATTGAATTTGCAGCTGAAAAAATTGAGGGCCTCTTCTTTTATTTTTCTAGGATCTTTAATCCAAACCCCATTACACATTACACCAGCTATAGAGTTTTTTGAGATTCTTCTCTTGAATAACGAGTGTAAAAAAGCCTTGTTTTCGTCACCTTCCACAGTCCCGCTGAACACGGACTTTTGCTGCAACATAAGAGTGTGCTTCCTCTCCAAATCCAACCATAGCATCCTAGCCCTATTCCTTTCTTCAAGCTTCCCATCCGACAAGTCAGATTGATAGGCAGCTAACTCGAGCTCATTAGCTTTGCTCTTGAAAGCCTCGATGTCAGAATTAAGTTTCCGAATTTTGATCTGCTCCACTCTTTGATTTCAAGTTTGACTCTCTTAAGTTTGTCTTTAAATACCTTACCGGGATCTGAAGAGTGGATCACTGAACAACACGAATTAGCTACCAACTCTTTTAGGCTGGCATCCTCTCACCAAACACTAAAAAACCTGAAAGGTTTTGCTCCTAAGTCTCTATTTGAAGGATTTAGAATAATTGGACAATGATCAAAGAGTTTCCTCTCTAAACCTACCACAGATAGCTCCGACCACAAGGAATCGAACTTGTCCCCGACTCTAGTAAAGGGCCTTCTACCCATTGGAACCTCGATTAGACCCGCATCCTTAATAAAATTATTGAAATGGTCTGCTGCCTTTTGATTAAAAATACAGTTCTTCTCTAACTTCACTGAAATCTCCAAAGGTGCACCAGGCCACATCTAAAGAGAAAATGAGACCAGATAAGGCTTCCCATAAGATTGATTTTTTTCTCATGTCATGAGGGCCATAAACATCGATGAATCCCACCCTAACATCTCCTTTCTTCCATTTTCCGACCACACCTAGAAAACCTTCACCAACGAACGCTCTATTGCTAGTAAACTTCGATTTATCCCAGACCAAAAGAATACCCCCGGAAGCCCCATCTACAGATAACCTAGAGAATTCAAAATCATCACATAACTAGAATTGGTCATCGAGGGTCTGGAATTTTGATTCTTGAATCCCACTGTTTGCCACACAAAGATCTTTGATCCAATTAACTTTACGTGGGTTATTCAACCCTCTGGCATTAATCGATAATATCTTGGTTAGACATGGAAAGAAAACTACCCAGCTCTCAGCAGAACCACCTAAAAAAGTTGGCTGCTACCACGATTGTCCCCGTTCCAAAACAAACCTACCTTGGCTCCCACCTTCCTCACATCAGTTGACTGCAAGGATTCCTCCTAGAATGAGAGGTTCTTTGAAGTCTTGCTTCCAGTTTTTCCAGATTGAGAGGTCTGCTTGGAGCGCGATTGAGATGGTCTCCCTTTCTTTCGAGAATAATCCATCATCTTCATCCCACCAAACCTCATCGATTCATGAAGGAAAGAACTCCTCTTGACTCTTGGTTTCAGACTATACACGAAATGACATCCAGGAGTATATTTAATAATTTTTTCTGGATCGATCTTTGAAGGACTGAGCTGACTTTAGAATTGTCAAGGAGACGATTAAATGGCAAAAATGGGCTCACTATCTTTTTTGGACAGAAATGCCTATTTACCTCCATGGGCCTGTTATGAGTTATCTAAGGCTTGCTGATGGCAGGATAGATAGAGGGCCCAAAAATCCATTTAAAATTTGAACAAGAAATGAGCCCTTGACTACGGTTTCCTTCGACCCTTCACCTTCACCTTCACCTCTTCCAAAAAGACCCTACAATTTCAACCTCCACCTCTGCTTTCCTTCCACATGTTGCCATCACTAGAGCCACTATTCCACGTGCCGCCCACCACCGTCTCCAGGCCTTCATCGTCGCCATCATCCTCATCCTTAGATACATCAATCCCGTCATCCGTGTCCACTTATCTGCTTCGATGTCAACCAACCATAAGATCTTTAACAGACGAGACCCGATCCTGAGGAATATCGATGTCAAACTTGGAGTTATCCCATTCTTCAACACCAACTGAGAAGTGGAACCCATCGACAACAATTGGCAACCTAGAGCTGAGATTGTTTGTCAAGACCTCCAATTTGCATATGCTGCCAACATTTTTAGCATAAGCAGAACCGTTACAAAATAGCAATCTACCCTCATAAATGTTTTTATTATAGTCCAATATACTTTTAAACTAAATTAGAACATTGTATTTTGAAAAAATTATCCATTATAACATTGTGTAATCTTTTGTCCATATACTATAGAGATGTGATTTTCTTATTACAACATTGTACTTTTAAAATTATTTTATTATAACATCTATTAGTTCTTATTAATTAATATACTTTCAATTTTAATATTTAGATATTTTACATGCTATTTAATAAATATATTAAATGAATTAAAACATTCTAAATTATTCATTAATATATTAATATTAATAAAACTACTAGAAGATAACTTATCTTGCTAATATTTTAAAAAAAATTTGTGTTTTTTGAAAAAGAAAATAAGAATTGTATCTTTTTTACCAAAAAAATATTATCTTTTAAAGAATATATTATATTTGTTCAAAAACTTTTACTTGACGTACAAATATATTAAATTAATTAGATTTTTTTGAAGTATTTATTAATATAAAAATATTAAAAAATTGTAGAACACAATTTATATCGTTAACATTTTAGAGAAAATTTTAAAAGATATGTATTTTTTTGAACAACATAAAATAAGAAGTGTTACCTTTTTTACAAACAAAATATTTCTCGGAAATAATGTACATATTTATTTGAGAAATATTTTACTCTAAAATATTTAATTTGCATGCAACTTAATAAGAAAAAGTCAAAATTAAATGTTTTTTTATATCATAGCAATGAAAAATGAAAATCACTAGTAATAATTTGAAATAGATATTAATTTTTATTTTAATTAAGTCATCAAAATGATGTGTTATCTATATCATGTCATTAAAGCCACAAACAAAAAAAAGTCAAGGGGTTAACCGGTTTAAAAGGTAACAGATTACCTATTGCTATTACGAGTAGATTTTTTAAAGTGCGATTTCTTAATAAAAAATAATTTGAAAGTACATTGTTCTTATAAAGAAAAACAAAAGTAGAAAGCTATAATAAGAAAATTTATGAAAGCAAGTTGCTATTTCATGCATTTAACCCTTCTTTTTCTCTTTAAGATTTTGTCCGAACTCACTCCCTTCTTTGCCTCATTCTTTTCCACTCTAGAAGTGTTTTCCCCCATACCTTTGGCCACTTGAACATATGATCTTCCATCTCTGAATCCTTGGAAAGAAGAGCAACCCAACCTTCTGTCTTTTCATCCTTCCTTCTTCATTTCTTTCGATAGGCCATTCGATCTATTATGTGCTAAGAGAACTCTCATCTTGTGACCCCCAATCCAGATAGTATTTGAACTTCTGAATAGAGCCCATACTTAACCTGCAAAGCCAAATTCTTCTCTTTTCAATCTTTTATTGGCGATGTAAATATCCACCAAGTTACCTTCCACAGATGACTTGCATTCCAACCTTTTGGGAAGTTGAAGAACATAAACGAAACCGTTCCTCTTGGAAGAGACCTGCCAACCTCTGCACAAGTGTTACAAACGAGATATCGATTTTTCTTGAATCATGTCCAATCGAGAATTGCCCCTAGACTCTCTCTCCCACTCTCTATCTCGCTAACTCACTCACTCTCTCTCGTTCTCACTCTTTGAGAAAATGCAAAAATAATCCGTAGTTTGCAAGAAAGAAAGATTTCAGACAAAGAGTCCCAAGTATGACAGTCGTTTTTTGTATTTGTATTTCTACAAAGAAAAATGGCTGTTTGTTCAAACTATTATGCTTTTTATGGCATGTTCACAAGTGGTTCGTGTACAATGAAAAGCCTTGTGTTTATGGTTGAAACGGTCAATCACTCCAGCATTGCATCATCTTTGTTTGAGCATAAGAGTTAAACCTTAAAAAGTGTATCCATCTATCAACCATTTTTGTAGACATATCTGACTAGTAGTGAACTGTGGTCCAGATGGGTGGTAGAAACACTGTTCTTTTGGATGCTATAAGTTGCAGAATACCATTAGTGAGTGACATACCGACTATTATATTTGGAGCAGATGTCACTCACCCAGAAAACGGAGAAGACTCAAGCCCCTCGATAGCTGCCGTATGATTCATGAACCTTCTCTTGCACCACAATTGAGTTTGAATTCTTAAAGCCGTCTGATTCCACTGTAGGTAGTAGCTTCTCAAGATTGGCCTGAAGTCACAAAATATGCCGGATTGGTTTGCGCTCAAGCTCATAGACAGGAGCTTATTCAAGACTTGTACAAAACTTGGCAAGATCCTGTTCGTGGAACTGTCAGTGGCGGCATGATCAGGTATTAGGACATTTTTGTGCTAAAAAGTTCTCACTTGCCTATATAGTTTTCAGTTTCCACCAGTTGTTAGGCGTTAGTTAATTGTTGTATTATGTTTTAACTTTGAATTATAAAAATGTCTTATGCTGTTTAAGCAGGGATCTTCTGGTTTCCTTCCGAAAGGCAACTGGGCAGAAGCCGCTAAGGATCATATTTTACAGGTAAAGAAAGTTGTCTCTGTATTCATTGACCATTGAGATACACTCTGTGATCATTCCGTCCAAAAATTCACAAATAAATAAGAAAATGATTGCTATCCCTCAGTTCTCCAAAAACAAGATTGCCATGTTTGACTTTCATGGTGATATGGAGTCTTCTTTTTTGTTGAGAATTGCTTGGACTATTCATGATTCGTAGAAAAGATTGATAACTACATTATGGGCCCGTTTACAACACAAAAATGGGTAAGTGCTAACTGGGTAAGAGTTACCATTCTCGGTTAGCAAAATGGCATTATAAGATTGTTGGGAAAGACTCTCATCTAAGAGTGGGTAAGCATCTCTTAGCCGGTAAGACGCAATAAGTGTTCAGTTACCCGGTAAGAGGCGGTAAATGTTTAGTAAACGGCCCCTAACTTGGTATAATATACCAACTACATAAATTTGTGGAGTTGCAAATAGAAGGGATTGATATGAACTTTGAAAGCGGCAACATGTAGCTCAATTATGGCGACCTATGAAAGATTTCAGGAGAACCTTACCCATTCTGAATGACTTATCGTGTTACTTGAAAACTATCTACTTTCTCAAGGCATTAACTTGTGGATTTATTTAGGAGAATAACCTTCTAACAGATTTTTTCTAAATGCGCGATGTTTTGAGGCATTCCTAAATCGCTCGTAAAGTCGTGCATGTAAAAATAATCTGTCAGAAGATTATTCTCCTAGATAACCAAAAGAATTCTAGTTTCTGAAGCTGGAAAATTAGATGACTATGTTCCTCTCCCAGATTTTCGTTTTTACTTGTCAACGGCTAAAATCAGCTATTCTCTCCAAAGAACCATCCAACTTATGGGTTTATGCTTTAGGAAATCATTGTTGCTGTGTATGCACCTCCCAATTTCTGTATACACAGTTACCACTCCAAATTTGGACTTTCTTGGTTGGACTCGTGTTTATGTCCTCTGAATCACATACCTTCTGATGTGTTGAACAGGGATGGTGTGAGTGAAGGACAATTTTATCAAGTCTTACTCTATGAATTAGATGCTATTCGTAAGGTTGGTGTTTATTCTTTGTGCGAAATAATGCACCAAAATGTAACAAGGTTTGGTTTAGTTTCAATTTAGTGTAATGAACAATTTTCTCTCAAGCGATGTTACAAACTTTTGAAATTTCCCTTTTTGATCGCTGATCTTGTAACCTTTGATGATGTGGATACTCGTTTACAAAATGTTTACCGGCTAAGTGGACGATGAACTTGACATCATATGTTCAAGATAGGCAAAAGAATAAGAAATTTTGAAACTTCGTTAGAGAAAAAAATTTCATTGTTACACTAAATAGAAACAAACACAAAGTTCACTGCATATAGATGCATTTTATCCTTACTTTCTAGAAGTGCCAATATTCTTTCCTGGTCCTATTACAGGCTTGTGCATCTTTAGAACCAAATTATCAACCACCCGTCACTTTTGTTGTCGTTCAAAAACGTCATCATACACGATTGTTTGCAAACAATCATAGGGTTCGGAACACCACAGACAAGAGTGGAAATATTTTGCCAGGTGACTACAGCATCATATACTCGATATCCAAGTAAATTTGAGAATATTCAAACATCCTCTTACTCTTTTTCCTTGTTATTTTTTGTATCTTCAGGTACCGTTGTCGATACCAAAATCTGTCATCCGACGGAATTTGATTTTTATCTTTGCAGCCATGCTGGTATTCAGGTCAAATGCTTAGCCCATTTCTTTTATTATCTAATGATTAAACGTTTGAAATGTTGTACTTGTTGCAAATAAACCATACTTGTTGCAAAAATGCAAGGGATTTAGACAAAAACTACTGGGTACAACGATTCTTTTACTTTTTGCATCTGCATTTACAAATTTAATCTTTCCTTGGTCTCCATGAAAACAACCGGGGTAGGCATCTCACTCCCAAACCCTACCTCTATGTTGGGTTTACGATATACTGGGTTTGTTTGGTTTATCTAGAACCGCTTCTTGTTAAAGAGTGGTCATTTATTTTTCTGACTATTGAATGCATGGCACTCAGGGGACGAGTCGACCTGCTCATTACCATGTTCTGTGGGACGAGAACAATTTCACCGCTGATGGAATTCAATCATTGACAAACAATCTCTGTTATACATATGCAAGGTGTACACGTTCAGTATCTGTTGGTATGTTCTTCTTAACTAAAAACCATAAGCTCAATCAGTGTATAATAACCCCTAGACACATCATCGCTTTTTTTTAGAGAGAGAATAAAAAAAAGATGAATTATAATAAGAGTAATGATGTATCGAAAGTTGATTTGAGAAAATGTAGTTTTGGAGGGAGGTGATTTATGACTATGTTGATGCAGTTCCACCAGCATATTATGCCCATTTAGCTGCTTTTCGGGCAAGGTTTTACGTGGAACCAGAAGTGCAGGAAAATGGTAGCCTTGTTGGTCAAGGAACAAAGGGAAGTCGCGAGTCTGGTGGTGTACGACCGTTGCCTGCCCTCAAGGACAATGTTAAAAGAGTAATGTTTTATTGTTAAGAAAGATTCGTTTGTATTAATTTTAGGATAGTTTGGTGTAGGAAAAGAAAAGGAAAAAAAAGCATCATCGCTTGTATCATATGGATATGGCATTTTGAACACCTTTTCGTTGTACTAAGGTCATTCTGGTCAAGTTCTTGATGGTAGGACTGCACTGCACATGAGTTGGGTTGGCTGGTTTAGGGTATTTGAACGATCCAACCCAATGTTTGCGGTTTGAAAAATCTTATCTTACCTCAGCAAAAGTACAACCTAACCCAACCCTCACTATGTTGGTTGTGTTGAAAATTTTAATGCATCATTTTACAATCTAGCTTAGCTTTTATGTTTAAATGAAGTAAAATCAAAATGATAACAAATAAAAAAGACTAACAAACTCAAAAAAGATTAAAGGTTCATGTAAATAAGAAAGTAAAATTACGGTTTAAATTGTAATATAATTTTAAATATAGCTATATGGATTGGTCTAATGTCTAATGTATATATGTTAATTAAAGATTTAAGAATAAAATTGAATCCTTAGCATAGAAAGGCATTGGATTGGGTTGGGTTTAAATGACTCGAACTCAATTCCAACCTAATAGATGTGTGTTGATCTGTTAAAACTAAGATTATTTACAGAATCATTCAAACAAATAAGAAATACAAGAATGCAGTTTACAAGATTTAGATTTAGAGTAAATCAAAAGATTATACAACTGAAACCATAAGAAACAAAGAATAGAGAGCTTAACAAGAGCTAAGAAACAAAGAATAGAGAGCTTAACAAGAGCTTATAGAACAATTTGCAAATGAGAAAATGAGAGAATGAGCGGGATGCCAAAGAGTTAACGAATTTATTTATCATTTAGTTTTTAACAACTTTACCCCTTGAAGAATGTAGAAACTTGCTCCACTACTCTTTAGCTTTTCCCAAAAGTGAGGCATGATCTTCCTTCTTTCCAAACAACTTTACTTTTCATAAATGACATAATCTACCTTGATCTGTTAACCTATTATCAATTAAGAACAAAAAAGGTTAAGTTAGTCAAGACTGGAAACATATATATATTTCAACACTCATCCTCAATCTTGACCTTTAAACAGATCAATCATTCTTAATTTTGAACACAAATAATTGTGATGATTTATACCAAGGGCTTTTGTTAAAATATCAGCAATTTGTTTAGAAGAGGGAACTTTCACAACTTTTAAAACGCCTTTGTTAATTTTTTCACAAATATAATGAATATATATCTCAATATATTTAGTACGTTTGTGAAAAACAGGATTATTAGCAATTTGGATTGCTGATTTATTATCATAAAACAAATTAACAGGAAGAAGTTCTTTTACTTCAAGATCTGCTAGGATTTTAAGCACCCGGACAATTTCACAAGAGACTGATGTCATTGCTCTATATTCAAATTCTGTGGATGAGCAAGAAACAATATTTTGTTTCTTGTTTTTCCACGATATTAAAGAATTTCCAAGAAATAAATTGAAACCAGTAACTGAGCGCTTGGTAGAAAGACACTTATCCCAGTCAGCATCTACAAAGGCACTTTAATTAAAATTTTATGACCTTGTTAAGCTAACTCCTTTTTCGGGAGAAAGTTTGAGATATCTGAGAATTCTAAGAGCAAGATTTAAATGTGATTGTTTTGGAGCATGCATAATTTGACTCAGACAATGAACAACAAATGCTATATCGGGTCTAGTTGCAAGCAGATAAATCAATCTACCAATTAAAACTTTGATAACCTGAACAATCTATTAATAAAGAATCCTTTGAGTTATTAGAAGCATTTATAACCAAATTTACATCCATAGGAGTATTTGAAGGTTTGCATCCCAAGTATCTAAAATCATTTAATAACTCTAGGCAGTATTTTCTTTGAGACATGCAAATCCTGTTAAACCCCATAACTCATGATGTAAAAAGTAATGAAAAGCAACAAGTGATGAAGAACCAAAAGACCAATGAAGACATCAAGGCAGAAACGACTAAGTCTGGAATTCAACCAGAGGATCGATGGACAGTTAAACCAGAGGACCGATGGACAGTCCAAGGATGCGATGGAAAGAGCATTCTCATCGACCCTCTGGTCAATCAACACTTTGAAGATTTTCCAGCAAGTCATACAAGCATGCGATGGAGATTTAAATATAAGGATAAGATCATCATATCATGAATGACAGCTGGAGATGACAAGTCAACAGCTGGAATTCGGGTTTATCTTAATATTAGTGTTTATCCATATAGAAGATAATCCTTATCTGTTAAATAGAAGATTTGCTAGAAAGTAGCATTAGATAGTTATCTTCTTGTTAGCTTATTAGTATAAATAGGTAGTCAGATCTATTGTAAAAATATGGTTTTTATGCATTTATGAGTTTATAAAGTAAAACCTTTGAAGCTCAAGTTTGTTCTTAAATATTCTTATTTTTATTATTGAGTCTTCATAACTTTCTTCATAAAATCACTATAATTTGGTTATTTATAACTAGATTATTAGTGTTATTTAGAGATCTGTGATCAACAATTGGTATCAGAGCCTCTTGATTGATTTCCCAATCAAAACGATAATTCAAAAATCTCTCAATTTTTGATATTCTTTCTCTTCAAAAATTACCTCTTCTTCTTCAACATTCTCAATGGCCAACTGGAATTCTGCTTACAATGTTGGCTCCCTCACAAAGSCCMYAACTCTTCAACGAGAGGAATATCCTCAATGGAAAATCAGAATGGTGAATTTTCTGGAAGGAATGGATAGGAATCTCCTGCGATCTATCCAGGAGGGTCCCTACATTCCACAAACTCTAGTCCCAAGAGTACCAGGAACAAACAACACAGCTGAAATTCCAGCCTACTACATGTCTAAAGATGAAAGGAACTGGGATGAAGATGATAGAGAAAGAGTCGAAACTGACAAAAAGGCCAAAAGATTGATAATCATGGCGCTACCCAATGAAATCTTCCAATCCCTCGATACATGTTCCACAACCAAGGAACTATGGGATGAACTGGCAAGCCAACTGGAAGGAGGAGCAAATACAAAGAAAAATCGTAGAGCACAATGCCTCAACGAATATACAAATTTCAAAGCCCTCCCTGATGAACCAATACAAAAGACTTATGATCGCTTCAACACATTGATAAATCAATGTCGTAGAAACGATATCATCAGAACAAAGGAAGAAAACAACGTTTTATTCCTAAAGAGTCTAGACGATGAATGGACTCAACTATCTATGTCCCTACAAGTAAACCAGGACCTAGATGGCTGGTCTCTTCATGACCTGTATGGAACTCTTGTAGCACAAGAGAGCGACATTATGAAGAAAAAGGTATCCATTGGTGGACCCCTTGCTCTTGCTGCCGATGAAAAAGAAAAATCAAGGACTCCCGCCAAAGAACATAA